AAAAAAAAAAAAAAAAAAAAAGGATATAGAATGGCAGAATTCACCAACTATCTGTTGTCTTCAAGAGACTCACTTGACACCTAAGTACTCACATAAAGTTAAGGTAAAGGACTAGAAAAAGATATTCCATGCAAATGGACACCAAAAGCAAGCAAGAGTGGCTATTTTTATACTAGACAAAACAAACTTTAAAGCAACAGCAGTTAAAAAGACAAAGAGGAACATTGCACAATGATAAAAGGAATAGTCCAACAGGAAAACATCAAAATCCTAAATACATATGCACCTAACACTGGAGTTTCCAAATTTATAAAACAATTACTACAAGACCTAAGAAATGAGACAGACAGCAACACAGTAATAGTGGGGGACTTCCATACTCTACTGACAGCACTAGATAGATCATCAAGACAAAACGTCAACAAAGAAACAACGGACTTAAACTATACCCTAGGACAACAGGACTTAACAGATATTTACAGAATATTCTACCCAACAACTGCAGAATATACATTCTCTTCATCAGCACATGGAACATTCCCCAAGATAGGCCATATCATAGACCACAAAACAATTCTCAACAAATATACGGAAATCAAAATTATATCAAGTACTCTTTCTGACCACAGTGGAATAGAATTGAAAATCAACTCCAAAGGGAACCCTCGAAACCATGCAAACCCATGGAAATTAAATAACCTGCTCCGTAATGATCGAGTCAATACTAAAATCAAGACAAAAATTTAAAAATTCTTTGAACTGAACAATAGTGACACAACCTATCAAAACCTCTGGGAAACAGCAAAAGTGGAGCTAAGAGGACAGTTTATAGCATTAAATGCGTACTCAAAAAGTCTGTAACAGCACAAGTAGACAATCTAAGGTCACACTTCAAGGAACTAGAGAAACAAGAACAAATCGTGCTTGTTTCGGCAGCACATACAGTAAAGTTGGAACGATACAGAGAAGATTAGCATGGCCCCTGCACAAGGATGACACGAAAATTTGTGAAGCGTTCCATATTTAAAAATAAAAAAGAACAAACCAAACCCAAACCCAGAAGAAGAAAAGAAATAACAAAGATCAGAGCAGAACTAAACGAAATAGAAACGAACAAACACAAAAGATAAATTAAACAAAAAGCTGGTTCTTTGAAGAGAGAAATAAAATTGATAGATTATTAGCAAGAATAACCAAGAAAAAAAGAGAGAAGTACCAAATAAGTACAATTAGATATGAAACAGACATCATAATCAATACCACAGAGATACAAAAGATCGTTCAAGGTTACTATGAACACCATTACACAAATAAACTAGAAAACCTAGAAGAGATGGATAGGTTCCTGGAAACATACAACCCTTCTAGATTAAGCCAGGAAGAAATACAAACTCTGAACAGACCAGTAACAAGCAGCAAAATTGAAATTGTAATTAAAAAGTTACCAACAAAAACAAGTCCACGGCCAGACGGATTCACAGCTGAATTCTATCAGACATTCAAAGAAGAATTGGTATCAATGCTATTGACACTGTTCCAAAAGACAGAGAAAGAGGGAATCTCCCTAAAATTATTCTATGAAGCCAGTATCACTCTAATATCAAAACCAGAAAAC